GGCAAATAAATGTGACGATGACGAGTCCCAAGAAGAGTTGGTGGAGACGCCTGAGCCCGCCCCTGAATGCGTGCAAGATAGACCCAAACCGCAGCAGGAGGTGCTTGCTGAGGTCAACCTCAGTGACTAGATTTGGGTTATATTTCACTTTAAGGCTAAGGTTGTGTCTGTGTTGGTTGAACTTTTTTCACACACTCCAAATTTTGAATGTCATGAGATATCTTTACTTGCTGCTAGTCTTTTGAACTTTGATTGATTATCTTGTTAAGGTTGTGAAATTCATGTCTGGTTCTTTAACCTTGGCATGAGAATGAAAGAAGTCATTTTAGTAAAGAAATTTTTGGATATTTGTGGGTAACATCTTTGGAAACACGAGACTTTAACTCGTCCATGAGGGGTAATCTATTGGATTAAGGGCTTGTTGCATGTGCTAAATTCAATCGTGATTTCTTGCGGAAGTGGTTTAGAGTAGTTGCTTTTATTTTTATTTTTGATTTTATTTTAGTCGCCTTAATTGCTAGGTTCTAAAATTAAAGCTGGTTGGGAGGTGTGATGAATGCTTAAAATTACGTAGTTATTCTAGGAATTTTGGATATTATATTCATTCTCTCAATTTATATTTAATTGTGATTTAATGTATTTAATTTAAATTTTTAGAAAAACTACATTTGAGCCATCAACAATATAAATTGCTCAACCAGGCCCATAAGACTCGGTTTGCTTTGAAATCATCTCATAGCATCCTCAAAACCTCTCTCAAAGGTTAGACAAGATTTCATTGTACCTCCAGTCCTTTTATATTTTGATTTTGCTCTTCAAATATTTATTTATTTTTCCTTTTAATTACTACTCATCTTTTGTTCCTTATTTGTTCCTTTTATGTAATATATATTGGGTGACTTAGATAATAGCAAGAACACTAGATCTGACCGTAGTGTTGTCAAGGGTGCTTGGGCTGCTTGAATTCAGCGTAACAAGATGGTAATTTTTATCTTAATTTTCTAACCCTCTACATAATATATATACCTTTTTACTCACAACGGTCTTGTGTTTGTAGCTTTTCATCGAATAAAAGATAATATTGCTATTGCCTAAAGGCAAGATTTCATATTTTTGTAGATAAGGGAGCAGAAAAGGGGTGCTGTTTTGAAAGAAAAAAGGGCCCCCAGTTGATTGACTTGTCCTCCCTGTGTCATTGTATATGATATGTTTTTAATGTTAATATTGTTTGTACTCGAAGGAATTGTTAATCCTTCACAAAAGGTTCTTTTGTATAAAACTAGACTACATTTGTTTCCTGGTAAATTGAGATCTAGATGGACCGGCCCTTTCATAGTTAAAACTGTTTTTTCTCATGGGGCCGTTGAGATTGAAAATCCCAGGAATGGTAATGTTTTTAAAGTGACTGGCCAACGTCTTAAACCAGTTTTGGAGAATTTCCCACCTGAAGAGGAGAGGAGTCCATTGAATTGAAAGGCCCTATTTATCGAGACCCATAAACATAATAATAAAAGCAATGTTACTTTTAGGAGTTGTTAGTTTTTTGTTTGTAATTTTTTTCCCTTGTGTTTTTGGCAATAATCCCTTGCAGGTTCAGGGTTCATCTTTTCTTTTTTAATAAATTTTTTGTTGACGCTCAAAAAAAAAAAATATATATATATATATATAGACATAGTTCATTATTTAAGGTAATCTCATAACCTTTGTGATTTTGTTTTTTACATTGAGGACAATGCATCGTTTAGGTTGGGGGGAGAAAATACTTTCTTTGAGAAGAATTTATATGTTTGCTTGCTGCAATGAGTTAGTTGTTTTGTTATAAAAAAAGAAGAGACCTTGTCTAGCTTAAGAAGCTGTCAAAGCTTGAGCCATGATGGTTCTCATTCAAAACAGAACCAACAAAACATGGAAAAAAATGACCATAAATTTATTGCAGGTGTTATTAACTTGTAATTACTATTTATTTGGAATGTTGAAGTATTTTTGGTGCTTAATATTTACCTCTCTCCTAGTTCTTCCCCTCGTCATTATGTTTACATATGTGCTAATGTAAGCATTGTTCTTTTATTCTACAGTTTTACTCAGAAAATTCGTTTATTTTTTCTTTATTTTGGAGAGGTGGTTCTACATGATGTTGATCCTAGTAGGAGGACCCCTTCATTCATTCATGTTTGAGCCGGTAAAGATGGTTTAGTTTGTAGTCCTTTCACAATAGTTTATTTGTGGGGAAAAAATGAAATTATAATTTCATCTAACAATTATTCTCTATTTATGCATATCATATGATAAATCATATTTGAAAATCACTCTTCCAATGTTTGATTGCAGTGAATTTTTAGACCGTGTTGTTGCTGCTACACTGACTTTTGAAATCTTAACAAGAGAAAACTTCTAACTAATTTCCCGACATTACTCCCTCAGGTATGATTTGAGATTGGCATGATTCTTTGCATAGGATTTAGTTTCTTTATTTGACTGGATTTTCAGATTTAGAAGTAGAAAAGAAGAAATATGAAACATGTATATCAAATATTTTGGTAACTTACCCTCCTCTAACATCAGTCTTGCATTTGTAGTTTTTCCCATTAATGCTAAAGCTCATGAAATGTAGAGAAGTAAGTTCCTTGTGTCATCTTTTTGGTTCCATTCTTAAAAGATATATTTCATTTATTTTATTGAAATGATCTTATAATTCGTGCAATTGTTGTGTCCTTATAACTTGATATTTGTATATGACAAATGTTAAAAGTGCTGAATATTGGGATTGAAATAAGGAAGTGTCTTGAAAATAGGTCAAACAGTTAAAAGAAGTGCAATAATTTCAATAAAAACTGCATTGAATTTAATAAGAAGTGTCTTGTGTTTTCAAATTTATTTTTTGGTCTACTTTTTGTGTCCCAGGGCACTTTTTAGCAAGACCCTTCATATATATTGGTATTCATAATTGTAGTTTTATTTTATTTTTGTCTTGTCAATGCTACTTCAGAAATAAATTTTGTTGCTTATGTGATGCCACACCTTATTTTGTATGTTTAAAGTTATTATGCGCCTTCCTAACCTTGTTGGAACAAAATATGGTATAGTAATTTCGTATTGAAACTAATTGAGCTTAATGGAAATTTTGACACACACATATGTTTAATTTCAAAAAGGAGGGTCTAAAAGAATGCGTTTAGAGATACTGTGGACTTAATCTGTAGTGAAGGGCATTACTGACTTTCATACATATATTTTTTTTCTGTTTTCTTTTTTGATGCAGATCAGAAAAATCGTTTCTAAGTGGGCTTCTAGCATTGATGTCTCTTGGATCATTTGTTCAGCTTATTTCCATCTCTCGTTGACTTACTAAGTGAGTTTGTTTTCCAGGATTCCCTAGTTACATTATGCTCCTTTTCATGTCTTTCTTTTGTGGTTTTCAGCTCTTGCCATATTTCACCAATGAGCAAAATGCCTAGGGATACGCAAAAATTTGCCAAAAAATCACACCCATGTGAGTGTTTGCTAGAACATTTGGGGTCTTGCATTATTGTTCACCAATTGAAGTTCTATTTACTCTATTAAAAGCTACACCGTGTTATTTTCCTTCCATTAATTTATTGATCAGTCAAATAGGCCATTTTGAAATGCCTTAATTAAATTGTTTCAGAAATTTAAAATCTACATGCTTGGTACTAGTTGGAAAACTGGATTTTATTATTTTGAATGAAAGCTAGAAAGAATAATATTTCTTATTCTCATATTTAAACAATGTACACACAGCACCTCTATTAATAGGAGATACATGGCATAAAATAAGGGATTGATTGGCTACTGATTCTGAGGACTGATTAGCTACTATTTAGTTACTAATTCTAATTCTAAATATAAACTTTCCTATTCTATAGTATTGACTAAATCTAGATATTTACAGCTGTGATATCCTAAAGAATTTAGCCATATCCTGGCAGAATTATTTTCTTCCCATTTCCAACACTCCCCCTCAAGTTGGCTTGAATATGTCTTCCATGGCCAACTTGTAGATTAGGTGGTCGAACTGCTTCTTGTGTAGTCCCTTTGTAAGAACATCTGCAATCTGCTCCGCAGTGGGTATATAAGACATGTAGATCAATTCCTTCTCAATCTTTTCGTTGATAAAGTGCTTGTCGACTTCCACATGCTAAGTTCTGTTGTGAAGAACAAGATTATGAGCAATTGCATTTGCTGCCTTCTTGTTACAGTAAACTTCCATTGGTGATGTTCTTGGAATTTTTAAGTCTTCCAATAATCTCTCGATCCACAAAGCTTTACAAATTCCATGAGCCATTGATCTAGCTTCAGCACTATTTCTAGCCACTACGTTCTGTTTTTTTAGAGGGTCAGAAATTAAACCCCAAATTAAGTGTGGGCCTAAGTACTGAGGTCGTCGCAAAGAGGCGACCAGGAATGAAAACGGAGCATGGGCTAAAGTCCAAAGGAAGTGGGCCAACAGTGGGCCGGAGTAGGTCCGACCCGCCAAGGGTCCAAATAGACTCCACGAGGGAAAATGACGAAGTCAAGTTGCAGCGGGAACACATGCCACGGTCAAGTTGCAGAGGGAATACATGCAGCGGGGAAGTTGCCGAGGTACTTTGCCTCAGCACTGCCATTCCTAATATCTTCGGCTCCGCCGCCATCCAAAGTTGATGAGGAAAGAGAAAGCCGAAGCAACTAAGTTGCAGAGGTGACAGTTGCGACGACCAAGTTGCGGAGGCACTTTGTCTTAGCGCTGCCATTCCAAGTATTCTCGGTTCCGTCGCCACCTAGAGTTGAGGGAAGAAGAGAACCGAAGCAACTAGGTTGCAGAGGCGCCCAAGTTGCAGAGGCACTTTGTCGGCGCCGCCATCTCCAATATTGCCGGTTATGCCATTTGAACTTGCCACGGGAAATGATTGCCGCAGCAACTACTGCCGCCGCAACCAAGTTGCGGAGGGAACATCTCGCCAAGGGGATAGCAGTCTCTGGGAAAAGCTTTCCCTCTGCAAGGAGGGTAATGCCTGGCGTTGATAGCAGTCCTCGAGGCATTACTAGCCCAGGGCTAATAGCAGGCCCCAAGACTTATTGGTGGGAGTTGATAGCAGGCCCAAGGTACCAGTTTACCGCGACGATCCCGCGAAGATGGGAGCAGGGTAGCCCTAGCATAAGGGACTCCCTTTCCATTACCCAGGTCATAGACCTGCCTTAGTGGCACAGGCAGGACTAAGGAAGCCCTTTGGGTTTGGTACTAAGGAACAGCAAGGCTGATAGCAGGCTTGGCTGTGGCCTTCGCCTGGGGAAGTTGGGGAGTTTGTGGTTAGGTGGCTAAGGGTGAAGGCTTCGCTGCGGTGAGCACGAACATTGTCGATAGCAGACTAATGGAGTTCTGAGAATGCATGTAGTGGCCAAGTAGAACTGAGGAGTCAAGTGTAGTAGCAAAGTTTATCGCTGCAAGTGCACTTGCTGAGGTTCGAGCTGAGAAGGCAAGTGCAGCGGCATACGCTCCCGTCGTAACTGCACTTCCTCAGGCTCAAGAGGGAGTTGCAGCGCCAAACACTCCTGTCGCAACTACACTTGCTGAGGCTTAAAAAGGTAGTTGCGGAGGCAAACAGATAGTACACAGTACATGCAAAAGAACACGTGGCACCTTCAGCCTAGTAGCTCAAGGCAGAATATTCCATGTGATCCTCTAGGACACATGTCCTCTCTCTATTTGGCCACTTGGTGTCCTCTTGGTGCCAAGGAAAAGCCTATATAAATAGGACCCATTTCCCAAGGTTCAACAAGAGGAATTTTAGGGATTTGGGGTAGATGCTGCCCATTTTGGCACTGCTATACATTTCTTCTTGAGCTACTTGCTTTACCCTCACCCAGCTGCACACTCTCCAACTTCCAGACAGTTGCTGCTGCTCATTCTCAAGCCACTTCCACCATTTTTGGACCATTAGCATAGTTTTGCCTCTCTAATTACCTTCTCTAACCTCGAACCCCTTTACATTTTTGGCGACTCCGCTGGGGAGGCTGCTTTGTTGATGGTTCATACCCATAGTGGTTTACATACCTCACTGGAAAAAAATGGCAGAGGATGAAGTTCAACAAGGCTCTTCAAATGGCGGAGTAGCACATGCGGAGGACTGTGACCACAGTGTTGTGATTGAGGCAGTTCAGTCACTCCAGGATATGCAGAGGGAGATCCTGGCAGCTTTGCAAACTCTCATTAAGGCTGTTATGGCTATGGCTTCTCGACCAGCTCCAGCGCAAACACCTCCGCCCGTAGCAGTCCTAAACCCAGTGCCTAACTTGTTCCCTGAGGTTTGGGCTCCAATCCAGGTGCCTCCAGCGGTACTTCAGGCGAACGGTGTGGCCGCTGGTTCAGCTACCCAGGAGCAGACTGGACCATTCCAGCCCACTCACTTTTTTACTCTAGCTGATGTACAAGCTATGCTCGAGCAAGAGCATAGCAAGAAGCCACTCCCATCTCTCCCCGACTCAGATGTGAAGGCCCCATACTCTCAGGAGATATTGACCATGCCATACCCAACTGGGTATACAATGCCCAAGTTTGTTAAGTTTGATGGGAAACAAAGCAATGCCAGAGAACAGGCGGTGAGGTTCATTGAAACTCTTGGTGTCCATGGCCGTGACCGCTCTTTGCGCCTTCGGGAGTTCTCCAAGTCCACTTACTGAAAGGGCTTGCAGCTGGTATGTGAACTTGGCTCCCAACTCGATCAAGAGTTGGGAGGAGATGGTGAACAAGTTCCACACGAAGTTCTTCCAAGTCCAAGAGAAAGCTACAACTCTCACCCTTTGGCGAAATGTCCAAAAGGGGGGTGAAGATATACTGGGCTATGTTAAGCGGTTCCAAGATAAGGCTATTGATTGTCATGAACTAATGGATGAGGCCCATTTAGTCCGCATATGTGTGGAGGGGTGCCATACGCGACTACAAAATTTTCTTGGTGAATCATAATCTGCCTACCATTTGAGACAGCTAGGAACCTCAATACCACTGGTTCCTTGCACAGATCTCGTGACAGCCACCGCTACCCTCGCAGTAGCAGAGTTGCTGCGGTAACCTCTGCAGGAGGGAGCCGCTCGCAAGGGAAGGCGACGTCCTCTCGGAAGAGAAAGAGTTATGAGGACAGAAATCCATGTCCTTGCAGCGTTGAGAATGTTAAGGCTCTGGTTAAAGAATGGGTAGCTGATGGTGAACTTACCTTGCCTCCAGTTAATGTCCCTCCAACTAAGGACAAAGAACCACCAGACACCCTATTAGGGATTGTTGGACTTTGAAAAGTATCTTCAAGAAGAAAGTTGACGCAAATGAGCTGAAGTTCATAGATGTCGGTAACTGTCATGTGCGGAAGGACCCTTATCCTAACCACAATGAGAAGGGAAAGATTGGCTATCTCGGGCCTGTGCATGATCAAGTGCATATGGCGTCTTACTATGATGAGTTAGAAGAAATTGCAATCGGCCAGCTCCCTGAGACAGTACCTGCAGAGGCAAAATTCGCAAAGGATGCTAATGCCTAGGCCTTGCAAAACTCTGTTAAGTTTCGCGCCTTCTTTGACCATTTGGGGCTGAGCCAAGCCGCCGAGGTGGAAACAACAAAAGCCCTCATTAATATCTTTGAAGTGCACCATGATGAAGTTTCTGAGGCTAAGGAGTATGTGCCTGGGCGCATCCAGGAAGCTTATGGGGCCATTACCTTTTTAGAAGCAGATAGAGCATACCCATTTCCCCATAATCGTCCTCTTTTTGTCACAGCATGCATCAGTGATGTAGAGTTCAAGCGTGCTTTCCTTGATGGCCGGGGCGTCCATAAACATCATCACTACTGACACCTTTGCAAAGGTTGGGATCCCAGAGTCCAGGATGGTTCGCCAACCCATCACTGTGATGGGTTTTGGCGGCGAGAAAAAAGATACCAAGGGCCATGTGGTCATGGACTTAGCAGTTGGTGAGATCTATTCCGCAACCAAGTTTCATGTGATTGAAGCGGACATAAATTGCCACATGATACTTGGCAGAGCTTGGATGCACCGATATGGAGCTATCCCGTCGAGTTATCACCAATGCGTGAAGGCAAAGTTGGGAAAGCGCATAGTAACCATATAAATGCGTTTGAACAGCCATTTGGGGTTGATGAGGCACACTATTTGGATGCAGTTTTCTTTACTGAGTTGTCAACGGGTGAAACTCCAAGGACTGGTAAAGTTGCAGGAGTAAAATTGCCAAAATGGGAAGGCATTCGGGATGCAGGGGCTGCTCCAGAAGTAGTGGGCAGAAGAGAAGCAGCAAGTCCACAAGTCCTCCGCCCAAGATTGTTAAGGTGCGGGAGGGCGGTAAGACAGT